AGCTGAGAAAGGTACGGAGCCATGTGACTAATGTAGATAAGGATAATGGGGTAACATAAGTTATAAGAGTTAACAAGAAGCCTGACCTCATGGGCCAATCAGTTTATAACCTTATTGAGTCCTGTGTGTGATTTCTCTTTGGGATTTGCTGGTTGTGGGGTACTGGGCGGGACGGAAACCCCAACAAGCCGGTCCCCTCATGTTACATGGTATAGCTGGGTTTTGAGGTGGACTGATTCCCAACCTAGTCTAAGGAATCACCATATTGATTTCCATAGTGGCTGTACAAGTTTGCACTCCCAACAACAATGGATGAGTGTTCCCTTTACTCCACATCCTGGCCAACATGAGCTGTCACTTGTTCTTATTGATCTTAGCCACTCTGATGGGTGTAAGATAGAATCTCAAAGTCATTTTGATTTACATTTCTCTGATGGCTAAGGATAATGAACATTGCTTTAAGTGTTTCTCAGTCATTTGAGTTTCTTCTGTTGAGAATCTGTTTAGATCTGTACCCTATTTTTAAATTGAATTGTTTTTCTGATATCTGGTGTGTTGAGTTCTTTATATATTTTGGATATTAATCCTCTATTGAATGTGGAGTTGGTAAAAAAAAATATTTTCCCATTCTGTAGGCTTCTGCTTTGTCCAATTAACGGTGTCCTTTCCCTTACAAAAGCTTCTCAGTTTCATGAGGTCCTACTTGTCAACTGCTGAGCTTAGTTCCAGCACTATCAGTGTTCTGCTCAGGAAGTCATCTCCTGGGCCAATGATCTCAAGGCTATCCCCACTTTCTCTCCTATCAGATTCAGTGTGTCTGGTTTATGTTGAGGTCTTTGATCCACTTGGACTTGAGTTTTGTGCAGGGTGATAGATAGGGATCTATTTGCATTCTTCTATATGCAAACATCCACTTTGACCAACACCATTTGTTGAAGTTGCTGTTTTTTTTCCAGTGTGTATATTTCTGGCTTCCTTATCAAAATCAGGTGTTCATAGGAGTGTGGGTTTATGTCTGGCCTTTGATTCCACTAACCAATGTGTCTGTTTTTAATTCCAGTATCTTGCTGTTTTTATTACTATAGCTCTGTAGTATAACTTGAAATGGGGAATTATGTGACCTTCAGCAGTTCTTTTATTGTTCAGGATTGTTTTAGATATCCTGGGGTTTTTTCTATATGATGTTTAGAATTGTATTGTCAAAGTCTATAAAGAATTGTGTTGGAATTTTGATGGGGATTGCATTGACTCTGTAGATTGCTTTCAGTAGGATATCAGTTTTACTATGTTAATCTATGAGCATGGGAGATCTTTTTCATATTCTGATTATCTTCATCAATTTCTTTCTTTAAAGACTTAAAGTTTTTATCATACATGTCCTTCGCTTGCTTGGTTAGAGTTACCCCAAGATATTTTGTATTATTTGAGGATATTGTGATTCTTTCTCAGTACATTTGTCATTTGTATACAGGAGGGCTATTGATTTTTTAATGTTATTTATTTTTTAGTTAATCTTGTATCCAGCTATTTTGCTGAGAATGCTTATCAGCTGTAGGAATTTTTAGGGTCACTTATGTATACTATCATATCACCTGCAAATGAAGATACTTTGACTTCTCCCTTTTCAATTTGTTCACCTTGATCTCCTTTAGTTGTCATTGCTCTAGCTGAATAGATATGGAGAACATGGACAATCTTGTCTTGTTTCTGATTTTATTGTTTTGATTTTCTCTTTATTTAATTTGATTTTGTCTATAGGCTTGCTATAAATTGTCATTATTATGTTTAGGTATGGCCCTAATATCTCTAATCTTTCCAGAACTTCTATCAAGAAGGGACGTTGGATTTTGTCAAAAAAAAAAAATCTGTATCTAATGAGATGGATCATGTGTTTTTTTTTAAAAAAAATTTATTTATTTATTTATTATGTATACAATATTCTGTCTGTGTGTATGCCTGGAGGCCAGAAGAGGGCACCAGACTTCATTACAGATGGTTGTGAGCCACCATGTGGTTGCTGGGAATTGAACTCAGGACCTTTAGAATAACAGGCAATGCTCTTAACTGCTGAGCCATCTCTCCAGCCCCATGTGGGTTTTTTTTATAACTTAGTTTATATGGTGAATCAAATTTGTTGATTTACATATGTTGAACCATCTCTGCATCTCTGGGATGAAGCCTACTTGATCATGGTGGATTCTTTAATGTGTTCTTGGATTTGGTTTGCAAGTATTTTATTGAGTATTTTTTGTATCTGTGTTCATAAGGGGAATTGTTCTGTAAATTCTCTTTGTTGGGTCTTTACATGGTTTCGGTAAAAGGGTAACTGCGGCCTCATAAAATGAAGAACACAATGTTCCTTCTGTTTCTGTTTTGTGGAATAAATTGAGGAGTATTGGCATTAACTCTTCTTTGAAAGTCTGGTAAAATTCTGCACTAAAACCTGCACTAAAAAAGTCCAGGCTTAGCTAGACAGTGGTGGTGCATGCCTTTAATCCCAGCATTCAGGGAGCAGAGGCAGGAAGATCTCTGAGTTTAAGGCCAGCCTGGTCTACAGAGTGAGTTCCAGGACAGACAGAGATACACAGAAAAACCCTGTCTAGAAAAACAAAAATAAAAACAAAACAAAACAAAAAAAAGGCCTGGGCTTTCTTGGGGGCAGGGGCTGCAATAGTTTTAATGACTGTATCTATTTCACTGGGGATTATAGGTCTATAGGCTTATCTGTTCCTGATTAAACTTTGGTAACTGGTACCAAGAAAATTATCCATTTCCTTTAGATTTTTTTCAATTTTGTGAAATACTGGTTTTTAAAGTATGTCTTTATGATTCTCTGGATTTCTTTGGTGTCTGTTGTTATACCCCCTTTTCATTTCTGATTTTGTCACTGTGAATATTCTCTATCTTTTAGTTTGGATAACGGCTTGTCTATTTTGGTTTCTCAAAGAACCAACTTTTGCTTCATTCATTGTTCTTTGCTTCTGTTTTATCGATTGTGATTATTTCTGGCTATCTACTACCCTTGGGTAAGTTGCTAGTATGAGATCTCTACAATTTTTCAATGTAGGCCTTTAGTGTTATCAACCTTCCTCTCGGCACCACTGTCATTGAGTCCCTAAGTTTGGGTATGCTGCGTATTTGTTTTCACTGAATTCTAGCAAGTCTTTAATTCCTTTATTTCTGTCATGATCCATCTATCATTAAGAAGAGATTTGTTCTGTTTCCATGAATTGAAATGTCATCTTGGTGGATTTTTCTCTTTGATGAATAAATTAGTGTCCTTTTCTATCTCTTTTGATTAATTTTGGTTTGAAGTTTATTTTGTTAGATATTAAATTGGCTACACCAACTTGCTTGTTGGGTCCATTTGTTTAGAATATCTTTCCCAACCCTTTCCTCTGAGGTCATGTCTATCCTGATGTTGTGGTATGTTTCCTGGATAGGGCAGGAGGATGGATCCTGTTTTCACATCCTTTCTAATAATCTGTGTCTTTTTTTCTTTTCTTTTTTTTCTTTTTTTTTTTTTTTGCTTTTTTTGTTTTGTTTTGTTTTTCGAGACAGAGTTTCTCTCTCTATGAGCACTTACCACCATCGGGCTAGTCTGTGTCCTTTTATTGGATAATTGAGACCACTGATAGTGACTGGTGATTCATGTTATTTTGTTGTTGTTGTTTTTTCTGTTGCTGGTGTGTGTGTGTGCATTCAAGTGTGCGCAGATGTGCGCTTCCCTTAAAAATATGGAATGCTTCATAAATTTATGTGTCATTCTTCCACAGGGACAGAACATATAAGGTCTTAACCCCAAGCAATCTCTCCAGCTTAGGAATTACATTTTCTGACAAATTAAGCCATTATTATAAGGAAAGGGTCGAAAAGTTACAAACAGCAACAGAGGCATGTCATCCCGAAGTCTTCCTGGTTCTCAACGTTTCAAAGGATTGGAAATAGGAACTCTGGGGAAAATTAATCTTAAATACCATGTCATTCCTTTTCCTTCCTTGCAGCTCCTAAGCCCTGACACTTTTAAGACTTGGAAAATAAAATTAAGTGTCCATTTCTCTGCACTCCACAACTCCTCCCAAACTCCTCCTGGCCAAACTAACTGTGGTGGTTTGAATGAGAATAGCCCCCACAGGCTTATAAATCTGAATTCTTGGTCCTCAGTTGGTGGAACTTTCAGGAAGGATTAAGAAATATAGCCTTGTTGAAAGTGAGTGTCACAGGTGGGTGGGCTTTTGAGGTTTCAAAACCCCCAGCATTCCCAGCTGGCCCCCTGCCTCCTCCTTTTGGATATGGGCATAAGCTCTCAGCTACTGTTCCAGTGCCACATCTGCTGCTTGCTGCCATGGCACCCACAGTGATGAACTCTCTGAGGAACCATAAGGCCCAAATTAAATGTTTTCTTTTATAAGTTGCATTGGTCACAGTGTTTTGTGAAGGCATCAGGACACTAATCAGTATAAAACTGGATTTGCCTACACTGTCTGAAAACTATGGAGGATAAGTGGTCCTTGCGAGGGCAGCGAGGCTCTAGACGATATCTTTCCAGTCTGTCGTGCTCTGACCATACAAATAACTGTTTCAAATCAGCAGATAAAAACATCTGTATACAAGCCGGGCAGTGGTGGCACACGTCTTTAATCTCTGTGAATTCAAGGCCAGCCTGGACTCTAAGAGCCAGTTCCAGTACAGACTCCAAAACTATGGAGAAACCCTGTCTCAGAGAAAAAAAATCTGTATTCAAATATAGAGAAATATGCATTTTTATCCATGCATGGCAGGCAAAATCAGAATAAGGAAAAATCTGCTGAGCTCTGCATAGACTTCAAACGGTAAGGCATTTAATATTAATGTAACAGTCTCGTGATGCTTCATTCTGAACTGTCAACTCTTCACAACCTAGAGTCACCTGAGAAAATCTCAGACAGGGACTGCCTAGATTAGGTTGGCATGTGGACACTCCTGTAAGGAATTTTTTTTTTTTTAATTTCTTGATTGAGGTGAGAAGACCCATCCAGCACATGAATGCCACGTTTCTTGGACTAGACGCTGACCTGAAGAGTGAAGCGGGGGTGGAGAGAACTGGGCAAGTAGGCATGCACGCTGACATTCTCTCTCCACACAACTAAGGATGTGACTAGCTGCTTCAAGCCCTGCCTTGACTTCCCCATACTGACTGCAAGTCAAAATGCAAGCCAAGCAAACCATTCCTCCCCTAGATTGCTTTTTGTGGGGCATTTATCACAGCAATGGAAAGGAAACTAAGATACTACTAGTCCTCTGAAGTGGGCACCGTATCTAAGCTGTTCCACATTTAAGGGTAAAGCATTATGAAAATACGCTTTTAGTCTCAGGTCACACTATGGTGTTCAAAGAATATAAAATGTTCTTCCCTTCTCTTCTAGAATGGTAGGCAGCTCTTACTTCTAGGTTAAACTATGTCAAGATACTATATGCCATCCCACTATAGTCTCTAAGCCAATGTAGACATTTATTTACCAGAAATTAAGTCTTGCTCATGTGGCATGAAAAGCACTCCATGCCACTCCTGTGTTCCCTCCTTGTGATGGTTAAGTCTAAGCACACTCTGAGTAGGCTGCAGGACCCCAAACATTCAGTCAGACATGACTTTTAGTGTTATGTGAAGGTGGTTTTTGAATAAAATTAACATTTGACTCAGTTAGATAAATAGCAGCATATTATTCCGAAGCCCAAATAATTGAGAACCCGAAGTTAAAAAGGCTATTCTCTCTCAAGTTTGGGGTGCTTTAACTCCTTCTGTCCAAATGTCTGAACTGGAAGATCTGTCTTCCCTGCCAGCAGAGCTGGAGTTCATCAGCTCCCGCCTCGGGCCTGCGGGCTTTCAGACCAGATCATACAGGGCTGGCTTTCTGGTGTGCAGGCCTCAGACTTAACTAGAGGTGCACACACTGCTCTCCTGGAACTGCTAAGCCATCATCATTGCACAAGCCAATTTCTTATGGCAAATCTCTTTCTAGATCAGCCAGTTGGTTCTGTTTGTCGAAGAACTCTAATTCCTTAGCATAAACTAACTCAAATGTGTGAGGTGCCACCTATTATAAGAACAATAAAAATTGAGTAGGACAAGTCTGGGGAACCATGAAATACCTTATGTCCTCTCAGAGACCACAAAGAAATGAAAATATGTGGTCTATGTGGTCTATGTGCTAAGCTATGTATCAGACAGGTTGACCAGGGCGGCTGTTTTACTCTCTGATCTGCAGGCAAGCTTTATTTATTAAAACACAAGTGAAACGCCACTACAGATCCCTGCCTAGCATTTTGTTTCCATATTGTGTAAAATGAATTTCTAGTCCCAGCTTCCCAGGTGTAACTGGAAACACAATTGCCGGCCTGTCTTGGCATCTCTGGACACTGAGCAGACGAACAGAGCTGCCGTAAGTTCTGAGACAACTGATAGTGTTTTACTCAAAAACTGCAATGTGCTCCAACTTCAACACAGCTTCCTCCAAGTTAATGATCAAATATTCATAACAGAATTCTTATTTCCTCTTATTCTCATCCCAATCCAAAGTCATTGTGTATTTTCAGGTTGTATTTTATGGCCTCACCACAATAAACAGATCACAAACACACACACAAAGAAACGCCCACATGAAGGCATAGCATATTTTTCATTTCCTCTAAGTTATTTAAATTATGTGTATGTGGATGCAAGTGTACACATGAAGCACACATTTTGGAGAAACTGGGGACTGAACCTAGGTCCTTATACACACCAAGCAAGTGCTCTATGCTAATCAATATCCCCAGCCTCTTTTTATTTTTTTATTTTGAGATGGAATCTCACTAAGTGGTCTAGGAAGACTCTGAATTCACTATGTAGCTCAAGCAAACCTTTAAATGGTGAACCTCCTGCTTCAGCCTTTCAAATAGCTGGGATCACACACCCATACCACCAAAACTGGTTTTTGAACCATACTCTGACCACACCCTTTATAAGCAGGCTATTAGTTCAGCAGGCAGGGAACTCTCTCAATATTTTGTTTTCCCTCCCCAACTTCCTTGTCCTCTAACAAAATACAAAGACATCTTTAACTCACCCACTTACCCCCAAACCAGAGTGTAAGTCATCAAAAACTGAGCAAGGGCTTCTAGCCAAAAAAGAGACACAATCAAACTGTAGTGATCTTGTTCTGACTGCTCTGAACTACGAGAGCTATATGCAGCTGGACACCTTCAGGTCCTGTTTTGGTGCCAACAGCTAATAGCATCTCCATTATGTCCTTCTGAGACACTGAAGCTCAACACCATTCTCACCAATCTCCATTTATTCAGCTTTAAACATGGACAGAACATGTGTATGGGCAGTGTTAGAACTTAAAGCGAGGTCTACCTTTCCCAGAGAAGTTGTTTTGGGCATGATTACATTGATCAGATTGATTCCAAGTATAGGGAGAACTGAACAGAACAGGAAGAGTTTCACACATGAAAAATAGGCTTTACAAACTAAAACAGGCAACATAAAATCCCAATCCCTAAATAACAATTAATTATCAAAAACGTGCCTTGGTATAGAAGCACTAATAAAATAATCCTATTTTTCTGAGGGAAATTATTGTAAGGTCCCAAGTATGAAAGACAGTAAACAAAGAGGTGAGGATCATCAAAAACAGTTCAGTAGTAAGGATTTCCAACATCTGTCCTTCTGTGTCTATTATGTGCTGCCCAACTTAATGCCAAAAAGGAACCAAAATCAGATTTCTTCCAACCCAAGACTAAGACATGCCATGTTGGTTTTTAGGGATACTGTACTTCCTGAATTAAAATAAGAAAATCAAAGTGTAGATGACTTTTCCTTCCCACTGTAATTTCCCTTGCTTGCTCTCTGAAGATCAAGGCAAGTATTATTGTCTCAGACTCCTGAGTTATTCTTACCTTGCTAATGTGGCCAAGAGTAGATACTCTTGCACAATTAAGACAGAACAACTTTATATAGGGCTCTGGCTCCTCTGTATTTGCTGCAAAGTCCACTCCTGGTGGGTCAGAGATTGGAGGAGGAGGTAGAGACATCCATTACAAGACAACATGACAGCAGAACCCTAGCTAGACTTTAAGGAACTGATTCTACTCAGGCAGGAGCAAACTGACATAATTAAGTTTTACACTCAAAAAAGTATCACTGTGAATTCAGGAACAAAAGGCATTTGGTTGTAGATACAATTCCATCTGTAAGTCCTAACCTTAAATTTAGAGAAATACACTCATTGCATTAATATTATGGGTTGGGGTTTCTTACATGATTCCTAAATCCATCTACTACTTTGTTTGCTTGTTTAGTTTTGAAACAATTTATAGCTATGATAAGAAGATTAATACAGGCAGCCCTGGTTCAGGTGTAGTCTTTAGTTTCAGAAAGTCCATCGGTCATGTAGCTGGTTGTCATTGCTAAATCTGTTGCTTGCAGAGGCCTCAGAGCTCTGGGTTTGCCGAGTGGAGTCCTCACCATTTAAGCTCTTCCTACATACTGGGCATGTGTCATGCTGAAACAAAATGATATGAGTCCATGTAAACAGCATGGCCTTGGAAGCTAGGAATACCAAATACTTAAACCCCAAAACCAAGCTGGAGAAATGGCTCAGTCAGTAAAATGTTTACAAACAAATACAGAACAGTGACCTGAATTATGACAAAAAGGTATCTATCAATTACTTCCCCATGTAGTCTAGATGAAGCTAAGCAAACCTTTTTGTTTGTTTGTTTAAGGGATAGAGAGAGGGCTGGAGCAAAGCTCAGTGGCTAAAAGCATGCATTGCTCTTGCAGGGGGCTGAGCTTAGTTGCCAGGACTCATGTGCTACATACACTGTCTGCAACCCAAGCTCCAGAGAATTCGACACCCTCTTCTTGCCTCCAAGGGCATCTGTACTCATGTGTACAAACCCATTCCCTCCACATACATATAAACATGATTAAAAACTAAAAATTAAATCTTCAAGAGGACAAAGAATCAGTGTTCTAGGCTTTGCAGGCTATCCCAACCCCGGCACAACTCTTCAACCCTGCCCAGCTAGCTCAGGAGCAGCCAGTCTGTTTAATGTCTCAGAAACACTGTATTCACAAGACCTGCTGGCATGCCACCGTGGCCTGTTTGATAGAGCACACTATGCTCTGGTTAGAAGCACTGAAGAGGGATAATAATTGAACAAAACAACCTACATGACACTAGGAGCCAGACAAGGAGGCTAAAATTTGATTTGCTTGCCTCTCTGAACTGCAACTTCATCTTTCCTCTGAAGCAGCCTCGTCCCAGCCAATAGGTGACTTGCCAGCTGCCTAGTCCCAGCCCAGAGCCAGCTGTACTCACCAGTTCTAACCACGGCACAATGCAGCTGCTGTGAAAGAAATGGTTGCACGGTAACTGCCGGACTTTCTCGTCAACTATGTAGTCTTCTTTACATACTGGACATTCTAAACCCGTATCTGTTGGAGGAAGATGTGTGTGTTAAAACAACAAGCAAAAGGAAGAAAACAATCAAGAGCCAGGGCCTATGGTGCAGGCCTGACCCCAGCACTGGAGAGCAAGGAGCATAGAAGGTCAAGGTTAACCTGGGCTACAAAGTCTAAATCAAAAACACAAGTTTAAAAAAAAAGAACAAAACCAAACAAGCTGCTTCTTACAACCCAAGAAATGCATTAATAAAGGTGCCCTTCCCCCACACTGGGGAGTTATATCTAAGAGGTAGGCAGATAAAAAGTAAGAATTTTATTCAATATGGAAACAGAAATGGCAGTAGACATAAAAATGGTGGGGGAGAGGTGAAGGGAATGAAAGAAGGAGGGAATGGGAACTGGAATTTGTGTGTAAATGAAAAAGATAGTTTGCTTTCTTTTTTTTTAGAAAAAAAAAACAACGAATGGGGCTAACTCCAATAGACCTAACAGGAATCATATAGTAGACTCAATTCTTAGGATAACTGATTAGAAGAATTAGCAGAGTTGTCCCAGTGAGGTGACTTAGAGAATAAAGGAGCTTGACACCAAGTCTGATGACCTAAGTGCAATCCCTGGGACACACACTAGGAAAAGAGAACCAGCTCCCACACTTTTTTTAGTTTTTAAAACTAAAAAAAAATGAGCAGATGCTGGGCAGTGGTGGCATATGCCTTTAATACCAGCATTCACAAGTAGAGGCAGGCGGAACTCTGAGTTTGAGGCCTGCATGGTCTACAGAGCGAGTTCTAGGACAGCCAAGTCAGGGCTACACAGAGAAACCCTGTCTCAATAAACAAAACAAAACAAACAAAAGAGCAGAAACTTATTTGTCTATTAAATGAAACAGGGAAAACATGCTCCCAAATGTATGACAGCATCTGTCGGCCAGTTTTTGCCTAGAAAACAATGGCAACCTATGATCCGTAACTAAGGGATTCGTCTCAGCAACTCAGTGGTGTCCATTCTGTGTTTTAATCACCTTTATCCTGTTCTTCCCCTTAATGTGCTCTCTTTAGTGTGTCCCAGGGTCCTCTGAAGTTGTTAATTAAAGGCTGTACCAGGAGATGGTGCCACAGAACTACAGAAGACAAGTGCACTCGGGACTCCAAACCAACCAACAAAAGACTTTCCCCTCAGAGAAAATGGCTACAATATTGGAAGTTCTAAGGGTCGAATTCTGAACCGCAGAAATCTGCTTAACAGTATCTAATGGCTGAGCTATGCTCCAGGACTTAACGATGATCAAGGCATCTGAAGGAAGACTTAAAGTTCCCTTAAAAAGTTCCTTCCTTTCTTTCCTTTTTATTTTTTTCTTTTTCTTTCTTTCTTTTCTTTTTTTTTTTTTTTTTAAGACAGGGAGACAGGGTTTCTCTGTGAAACTTTGGAGCCTGTCCTGTAACTCTCTCTATAGACCAGTTTAGCCTCGAAGTCACAGAGATCCTCTTGCCTCTGCCTCCTGAGTGCTGGGATTAAAGGCGTGTGTCATCACTGCCCAGCTACCACCTTTTTTTGATTCTTCTCTCTTACATTACATACTGACCCAGTTTCCCCTCCCTCAACTCCTCCTAGTCTCCCCCACACTTCCCCTCTCCCCCAGATCCACTCCTTCTCTAATAAACCACTCTTATTAGCTCTGGAGTGGACTCTGATGTGAGAAGCAAAGGGAGTCTGATCAGATAGGGAAAGGAGTGGCTTGTTGCAGAAGACCTTCAGACTGCAAAAGGAAGGAGTTCCAAGATGTTTCAGGGAGAAGAGTTTTCAAACATTATCTCTATTTACCTGACGGCACCTCACATGGGAAACAAATCCCTAGCCTTGTATCTGTCCTCTTCTCCCCATGGTATCATGAACCCAACACCATTTCCAACAGCTTTTTAAATAATTTAGTGAGTTTTGTTTCCAATAGTAAGTTCTTGTACTAATTATAATCAAGTTTTGTACAAATGACTGTATCTCTTTATTTCCAATGGGACCTAGAAAGCAGGCATGCTAACTAGGTTCTCCACAGTCGGTAGTAGGAAACCATAGCTTTAGAATAGAAATGCACTAAATATTAGATCAGATGTTCTAAGATGAAAGAATAAATATGAAAATAACTTACCAACTTGTTCCTGAGTTACTGTCACTGTTGGGAGAGAAGTGATCTTTTCCTTATCCGCTGGAGGGGGACCTGTGTTTTCTAGCTGTCCTAGAAGCTACAAAAAGAAAAAGCAGCAATATTTGTTATCTTAGTAACTGAAGAGGGAGCCATCCAGCTGAGAACAAACAGTGCAAGCATTAAGGATGCTCACTGCTCTTAACTTCTGCCGGACTCCAAGAAGCTGGCCTCCCCTTCCAGGTACTGGAACACACACAGCTGCTTCAAAATGTCAGAGCAACACCGGTGTAAGCCAAGATTTTAAGACAGACTCTTAGCTTAAAGGCTCAGCTTTGGGCACAAAGATGATTTCAGATACCAAGAGTTGTGATATCTTGAATAAATTATAGCTAATACAAAGTAATAGTTAACTGGTTCAAAATTTCATTCGGTCAGAAGGAAGGGGTGGGAGTATGAAAAGCAGCAAAAATCCAAGAAATAGGTATATTACTATCTGTGAGAAGACTGATAATAGACACCGTGCTTTCCATTCTCAGCAGTCCCCAGGGAAATGAAAACCAGTCAAGTTAAGATGAACATAAACAAGTGGAAGCAATTACACACAGCATGGAAAGATCTTGTCTCTGCTTCCTTCCTCTACTTTGCTCCGTCTAGCAGAAATCCCTGCTTTAACATGTGAAACCCTATTTTTCCGTGAAGCATCTGTTCCTCATAGAACTAAATAATAGGACAAAATTACAATATATTGTTTTGTTACAGGAGAAATCTTTACTTCCTCTAGAGGTAAAATCATCTTCTAGAAATTCCCTGCTGCCTAGTAGGAACATGGAAACTAGGCTGGACCAATAGCCCATCCATCCATTTAGTAAACACAGAAACCCAAAGCTCAAAATATCAGTGAAAGCAGAGTGGTTGCCATCTCAGAAAGTAGCAGAAGGAATGCAGGAAGCCTGTGGAACCATGAGACACACTGAACAGACACCCTCTCAAAAGGCAGCTCCTCACCTGGGTTACAATGGCATCAAGCCCTGTCTGACCCCAGGCATAGTCCCCAGGGTTGGAGTGCAGCATCCCGCTCCTATACGTGAGATGAGACAGACAGGATTAGGTGGGGTGGCCGGGCTCTGCCTTATAGCACTGGGGGGGGGGGGGGAGGACTAGTAATGGATACTGTTCTCTCAGAGCTGAAAACTCACTAGTCCTCTAGAATTGAGAGGCAAAGAAATTCTCTGTATTTGAAAGGCTGACCAGGTTATCTAGAGATGTGCTTCTATTCTCAATTAAATTTTACCTAACTGGGACAAAATGTAAAGCCATCTAAAATGCCACATAATATCCCAGAATAAAACAGAGCTCACTGCCCATGAGTTAAGAAAGGTGTTTTGGCTGCCCCAAATCTACAGCAGACCTCCCTCATTCAAAGAGGCCGCACGTGTCCTGCACAGTAAGGACTTCCTGGTAGAGAAGCGGTCATAACAGTTCCTGTGATATGACCAACGCTTACAAAGGGACTTGGCCGGACTTCTTTCTTAGTGCTGTTGGTGCAGTACCTTGGATGAAGGCACAGGT